GACTCGGAGAGACTGAAGCTTCAAAGCATCAGGTTTAGGATGGTTTTAAAATGCAATGGCCCTTTCTCCGCATGAAAGAGTCCAGCACCTGCCCACTTAGGGTTCGGGGTTTAGGGTTGAGGGTTTAGGGCGGTCTAAGATGCACAGTTGATGTCCTTGCCGTGGTTCATGTGCTTCAGATGGCAAAGCTCATGAAGCAGGATCTGCGGCAGTGACACAGCTTGTGGGCCTTGAGCCTTTGGTCAAGCAAAGTCTTGCAATTTCGATATCAAGACTCCCAACTATCTCGAGGCAGGCCGGCTACAGTCAAGCCCTGGTTTCGGGGCTTACCCACACAGCTGCAGAAAGTCTGTCCCCCCGCCGTGAATACGTAATCGTTGGGTGTTTCTAGTCATGTGGCATACATAAGACATCACCCTAAAAGGACAGAAAGCGAAATCGCTGCCCAAGTGACGGCAATCTGCGTCCCTCGCGAGATGAACTCTGTCTGGGGATCCTGGGTGCAACATCAGCTCGGCTTAAATATCTGTCTGTTTATCATAGACTCCACAGACACTCACTCTACCCATACATCCTGTCCATACGCAGCTGCGTGCATACTTAGTTCACCCCTCAACCCCAGACCCTAAAGCGCCAATCCACCAGAGGCCCCTGCGCCCTTCGTCGGATGCAGCCGGAGCCGGAGTCGGATAGTGACCAGGTATCGGGTCTCCTTTGAAGTGTGGGAAGGGTCTCGGGTTTGTAGGATTGGGCGCAGGATTAATTAGGGTTCAGATGCGCGTGCACATGAACATGTGTTATGTTAGTCTGGATCACATACTATGAAACGTCAAGGAGTCTGAGACGAGTAGTGCGGTCAGCCAGTACAGCAAAGGTTTGAACCACCCGCTTCTACATGTGAGGTGGTACGGCTTGTGCTCCTGCTAGCTGCTCGCTTCGGCAGAAAAGATTCGCAAAGCAAGCCTTTCAATCCTGAACTCTACAGGGTCTCAGGAGCCTCGGCAAGGAGTATCCGCACAACTTCGTAAGTACGGGAATCCTTCCTAGCCCTGCGCGTCCTGAATCTCCGTGCCATCTGGGCCCTCTTTCCTGCGCCAGGAAGAAGGGGTTTGACATGTACCGCGGCGAGCCATAAAACCTGACTCTCTGGCAAAATTCGATCCGTTAGTCTGGCGAAACTTCTTGAACAGTCTGCCCTCCTGTCGACTCCCCCATACACCCTAACCCCCCGGTCCCCAAGACATTCCTCAAATGCCCAAGCCCTTCCTAAGCAGTGAGCTACTTGTACCAGACCCTGCCTGAGAATCAAAGGCTCCTTGCACGTCACGCCGGCCTTTTTGGCCTTTCGAAGCGGAGGTGGGAAGGAGTCGGTCTCTTGCTTTTGAGGGTTCCTTTTCCCTCAGCCGAAATCCAACTTGATGCGAGGAGGTTTAAGTTTTTGGGTTTGTGGAATCAGGGGTCTAGGGGCTTGCAGGACTCAAGGTTCATGTGTGTAGGGCTGGGGGTTTACGGTTGAGGCTGGGTGTAGGTTCAAATCTAAGGGTTAGCTGTAGGTTTGGTGCAAGCCAAGCTCTTCTTGCTGTTTCAAGTTCTTACAGGGCTGTCTTGGGACGTCTTGGGCACAATTTTCCGGGGACGTGAGGCTCACATTATGAGAAGTTCTTGGGTTGGGTTGTCCTTGGCGGCTTCGGGACGCTGATGACAACAATGGATATTGGGAGTTGAGCTTTGAACCGTTTTGATCCGATCGTGGCCAACCGAAGCAAAGCTCCGGGGACTTGTTTCTACATGACGACTTGCAAGGTACGTTCATGGAACATGCTTGCCTGACTTTTGCCTTTCCCGGACCGCTTGGAAGTTGTTTTCAGAGCGTCTGGATGCAGCACTCGTCCGTGCACTAGGCCGCTCAACATAGCCGCCCCCTATTGCAAAGAGACTCGCATCTAATCCAACCTTGTTGTGCTTCGCAAATTCCGCAACAACCCCACCCCTTCCCTTGAACCCTAGTCCCCAACCCGCAAACTGTAAACGTTAGACACTTACCCCGTGCCCTTCCTCGCCTGGGGATGGTGCTCGGAGAAGAAGTTGTACCGCAGGCCAAAGTGCCGGCAAATGGGCAGCGCTACCTCCACACCGAGGCTTGAGGTTTCAAGCTGCCCGAGCCTAGAATCTCGATTGAATCTAGATTTAGTGTTGTGGGACCTGCGGCTACGAGTTGAGCTGAATTCATGATTCGGGGTATGAGGGTCTCGGGCTCAGAGTTGTACACTGCTCTGACTGTAAGCCTTCCGAAAACCTCTTCATCAATGTGAATAGCCCAACCACTCTGCTACGCCAAGGTATGTCGGAACCTCCCAACCATTGAGATTCCAGGCTTGCTTTGGAAATTGCGGCGTTCGAGGCTCTTTCTGAAGTCGTATTTATTCGATTGGCAGGCGAAGAGATCAAGTGCAAACCGGCTGTGCCATCGGATGTTTCTCTAATAAATCCAATACTTCCACACCAGCTTGCAAGATGTGAAGGTACATGCCGCAGTTGTGCGGAAACTTCACTTGCAGGCTAAGGGAGGGGCTGCCAGGACCGCAACAGTATGCAGAATTACAGCCTTTTATAGGTATTGGGCCATGCTTTTCCTTACTTTTGATTGGTTTAGGTAAGGACTGGGCCTGATCCTACAAAGTATCTTCGCAATAAGGCACCCTAGGAATCAGATTGGTAATTACTTCAGTAGCTCTGAATCTGTGCCCCAGCCTTGCTGTTGAGCTCATGCAACGTTCGAACAACTTTGTCTCGATTTTTCAAGGGAACCTGCGCAAAGGGGCTGAGGAGACGCTGTGAGACAGAAGGACCGCAAGAGATGAACGTGCTGGGATGGATGGACACTTGGACAGTCGGGGACTTAGTAAGTATAGCTGTTTTAGAGACTTATAAGTATCATGTCCCCAGTTAGGGTCCCTTTTAGGGTACTTATCAGCATTTTTCTACCTACTTACTAAGCCCCATCGACCCTCCAAGCAGCTTGATGAGCATACACGCTCTTCACATGCACAGAACGTGTCAAGTTCTCTTCTTGATCAGGAGCAACCACTCAATGCAAGAAATTGGCATCATTCTGGTGATCTGCTGGATGGAACCGTGCCTTCTGTCCCTCTGCGCTGCGCATCGAGCTAAAGGAGAAATACCTTGGGAGCGCAAGGGATTCAGGTTCGAGGATGTGCCTTCATTCTGATAAGCAAGTACACCACCACAAGCAGGACATAAATACAAAATCCGGTGAAAGGGCAAACCTCCGGACTCTGGCCGCTTAAAATCTCCTGCATCTCTTCTCTCTACTGTAGTCTGATGGGTTCTTCCTGAAGCAAGGTGCCCCATCACTGCAATCTTACCACTGCCCTTTCCTCATGGCTTTCGTCTCGAAACAACTGATGCTGTTCTAGTTCGGTGTGCTGCTCGAGTATAGGAGGAGCACGAGTTCATGGTCTGTGTTACTTGCGACCCTTCAAGTCCAGCTGATATTAAGCCCTGAACTCGCTCCTTTCCGTGCAAGGGGCAACGCGCCCAATCCGGAGTCGAAGTCTGGCTCCTCAGGCGCAAAGGTAGTCAACGCAAGGAGGGTCCGCAGAAACGGTGCGGATTTGTTCGGTGGCTTGGGGAGCCTCTTATTGAAGTACTGTAAAGGCTCCTGAACCTGCACAGACAAGGCTACACGAATGGACAGTGCTGCTTGTAACAGAAACTCACTGATTTGCTGACAAGCCTTTCTCAGTCCCCATGTATGAGTATGGAAACCCAGGATCATCACCCAAACGATAGCATGTCCGGACCCCTCAAGTCGTGCTCTGCGAAACTACGACAGAGGCCGCAAAGACTTCTGTCATACAGTGAATATAAGGTTATCATCACTCACGCATGCCCACCGCCTCTTTCCAGATGGACTTCGTCACCACGGGCCGACCTCGGGGAGCCGTGGCAACTGATCGTTAGAGTATGCCAGCTACAAGTCAAAGACAGTATCAAGCCGTAGGATTGGTTGTCGTTGGTGGATGCGGCTTAGGAGGAGGATGAGCAGGCCACCGCCACAGCAAGAGCCTGTTGCAGCCTCAAGTAGACTCAAGCTTTTGAGGTGATCAGGAATCGGAACTCCGAACCTCAGCTCCAGCCAAGCAACTTCGCTGGCGCAGCTTGGGTGGCCGCGATCCAACCACGGCCAAGGAGAGAGTCTTGGCCTCTGCTTGAGTCGGTGTGCTTGGTGGTGCAAGAGCGTGATGAGGGGAAGTTCGGTTCCCGGACAATGTTAGACATCAAACCTCATCGATCAAACCAGCGTCTTTCAATGTTTATCGCATGTCAGTTGAACTAAACTAAACCCTGGACATGCTACACCCGCTCCATTGGTGTTCAAGCGTCCTAAACGCCAAACAAATCCTGTCGACCATTTTATGCAGATCCATGCACACACAAATGAAGGCCCGTAACCATCCACTGCGTGTGATCTGCGAAGTTTCGGAACCACTAGCACCCAACCAGAAAATGACACAGCAGGTGCTCCTGAGCCGTCCCCCCAATTCAATGCCGCTCCAGCGTGCCTTATCGGCGTCGCTTTGGGTCGCATCGTCCTCCGTGGTCGGGCCAGCCAGCCTGCCCACACAGTCTCAGATTTCCCATGGCGTTGGAGCCGCAGGCGAACTATGGCAGCGGGAGCAAGGGGGAAGCCAACCGTACAGGGTGAGGAGGATAGTGAATGTTGCATGATCTGGACGAAAAAGGAATGCGTGAAAAAGCCTATCTCAACGTCATCTTCATGCTGACTTGCTAGCAGCCATCTCCATGGTGAAAATACTATTATAGCATGTCTAATTTCGAGGCACGGAACCCTTGTGAGTGTTGCAACTTGGCTCTATCATCAGCTAGTCTGTGCTTGGCAGTCTGGGGTTCTCACGCACTCGGCTGGGCCCACCGATTCGACAAGATCAGGCTTGTTGTGTTGCGCCTCCATCCGGCTACGCATTCCTGATCCAGGCTCCTTGACGCAGTTGTGATCGAATATCGGCACGAAGCAGCACATACCGTTCCTCTGCGTACTTTAAGCGGTGAGTAGCTCGTAGATGGACCAGCCGATGCCGTTCTATTTCCGAGATACCGCCTCGGCGGTCTATCTTTCTTCTTAGCTTTTCTATCTCATACGCACGCTCAGCTCCTGCGGCAGTGAGTCGCTTGTAGCGACTTTGGAGCCCGACCACTTTCTCCAATTCGCTTCGAACGTGGTGGAAGTTGCCTGGCGCCAGCTCCAATGAGATCCTGGCTGCATGCCGCTTCACTCGGAGGCCTGCTATCAAGAGTCTCTTCAATATGAGCCTGCACTCTTCTGTCCTGTTGGCTTCCAGCTGGTGACGGCGTCCATAATCACGAACGGAGCATCGCATACCCACATACGCCAGGAACTCTTGGATTGCGAACAACACGTGCGGACATGTTTGCACGATCTGTAATGTCAGTCTGGCCGGGTATCTAACTCTTATGCATCCCTCCGCATCGAAAAAGCCAGCTAAGTAGGACCAAGAAGGGCAAAGTGACCTCGATGGTTTCATGCTTTGCTGCCGGCTCCATTCTGGCAGGATCGCTGCAGCCAGCCGTAGCTGGTAATATTTAGAACAAGAGCCAATGCTGAGGCTGGCTGCAGCATGTCGAGCACGTTTGCTGAATACAGACCACTGCAACATGACCTGCTGTGTGACCAGCGCTTTGTCCACCGAATAGATTCCGCCCCCCAGCAAGTTCCTGAAGAGAAGCAGAACCTCGCTGCCGGATTCTGCTTGACCAACGCTGAGTTGGTACTCGCTCCTGTGTCTGCTCACACATCCATCCCCATCGAAAAAACCAGCCATATAGTCGACAACGCGTGGAGGAATGACATCAACACATGGCTTAGCAGTTCTCGCCCTAAGAGGCAGATCATACCTCTTCCCACAGGCAATGAAGTGCTTCACTGGAGGACGTGCCAGTCGGCACTGCAAAGCCCGGAGTCGGTCAAACCGGCGCTGCAGCTGCTCCAAGGACAGCGACTTCATCCAGCAAAGCTAATGCCGAGCCGATTCACCGTACTTCGCGCCTGTGTCTGGAAGCTCTGCCCGGCACGACATTGGTTTTTCCAGAAACCGCCCAAGCTCTGTGACACTATTGGGGGAGCCGCACGTAAGCCCAACGACTCAAGGAGTCCCTCTGCTCTGGAAAAGGGGAAAGTGAACAAACACATGAAGTGGACCCTCCTGATCATGAAGTTGAAGTACATGTCATCACATGGATAGACCAAACAAAACAGGCTGGTTTTGCTGCATTGGTGCATGTGCAATGCAACAAGCCGTGCATTTCCAGCGAGTACATGCAGCAATCTGATCGACAACTTGTGCACCACGATGCGATCCCATCAACCGGTCAAGCAGAACAGTGGCGTTGTAGTCGCCTAACATGAAACCGCATCGAACATGAGATTTTCGATGCTGGCGTCAGGGTCATCTTCCCGGTGTGCCCTTGAGTACACTTCGAACCACATACCCCAAACCCTGAATTCCAATAGAAGCCTTGAGCCCTCCACCCAAAAACCATGCCGACATTCTTCCTAAGAGCCCAACTCCCTACATGTAGTAGAACACACGCTTCTGGGTACTATAAGCCGTGACACAATCTAGAACTGATTAATTGGTATGTATATGGCTTTAAGGAACAAAGAAGTCACTCTATAACTTGACTTACTTCCCCAATAAGCCACAGAAATACAAGGTTTAACTTTCCGATTCCTACTAAACTAGAGCAACCCAAAAAGTTTGAAGGTTGGGTATTGGGGATCTAAGTTGAGGCGCAGCTCGCGGAGTCGCCTCGGCCGCACCTTCGCAGCGCTCGGCTCGGCCGCGCTGCGCGCACGGCGCACGCGCCGGGGCCGAGGCGGTGGGGCCTCGGCTCAGGGCCATGTTCTCTGTGTAGGGTTTATGAGTATTTTGGGCTATGGTCTATGGATCGAGAGTTTGGAATGTGAGTTTTCAACTATCGCTTGAGGGAAGCATGGAATCTGGAATTGAGTCAACTGAAGGTTTAGGATGTATGTCGTTGATGAGGTGGGTGTTTCGGAGCAGAAGAAGTTCGGGATGGTGGCGACAGCCCCCGCAAGTCCGCTGAACATCTAAACCGTAACATGGGCGTGATCATTGAACCATAGCTTTTTGGAAATTGGAAAAAATACAGAGGATTCTCCGTCTACACGACAGACTGTGAATGGCTTAGTTAAGTTCTGGTACATTAATATGACTGGGCTGCGCTGTAGGAAGGTTCAACGAAGAACTGATGCATGCGCGTCGCTGCACGGGCTTTTCCGCTGTATTGTACCCTGTCTTGCTTCAACTGTGCATGCATGCACCTTTATAATTACTTGACACCAGCAGCACGGCAACACCCTCAAGATGCTGACTATAAGGCCGAAGCTGGCGCTGGCTCCTCGCCGGCGGAGGTTTCCACACCAGCATCGGGCTTCTCCTTCGATGGAGTGCAGATGGAAAGGGATTATATTCCTCCATGAAGAAGTGAGTCTTGTATGACAACTTGAACGGTCGAATCCCCGAAGACGAGTGACGAGGTGGGAAGTCTTGGGGTTATACTGGCTTAGGGCCGCATCCCATGCAAAGTGGCTTTTACTGCCAAACCTGCAGTTTTCACTCGGCTGGTTTTCTGAAACAACCTACAATCTCCACTATTGCAAACAAGCATCTGGCTCCGTTTCGCCGTCTGCTTCCACAGCAGAGTCGGTCCCCTGAGGGACGAAGCAGCCGATGGTCGGTTGCCGGGGATAGTTAAGTGGATGGTCATGGACATTGAAATCCAACTTATCGAAGCACCCGTTAAAAAGGCTCTTCAAGCATGGTGCAGATGTGGTTACGTTGCCTGCAACTCATTTCATCAATGCTCGGCCGCTTCCAGCAATGAAGACCCCATGGTAATCTACTTTGAAAATGAGGAACAAAAACCCAAAGCTGGCAGAACAACAAAGCCACATCTATCTTTTCAGTTACATGGCGTAATTAGGTATGTCCCTCGGGCCCTCCCTCTCTCACTTCGTCGTACACCTCTATGATCCTTGTTTTCAACGCCTCCTCGTATTACTCCCAAGCTCAGGCCTCAGCCCGCGCAGGCTTCCGCTTTGGGAAGCGGCCGAGCAGGAGCCTTTGACAGCTCAGAAACTGGAGGCTTTCACGCCTTTACCGGTTTGGGGGTTTGACTGAAGGCCTTTAGGCATTATAGGGTGTAGGGAAGGTATACGGTACTGGGTTAGGGGTCACAACCATTCAACACTAATCAGGTACTCTTGGTTAAGATTTCAGGCCCGGCAGTAACGATAGTAGCAATGGAACCACCTGACGCATACAAGCAACACCTGCATTAGCCTTACTCTTTCATTGTTGGCTTCGGGGCGGTCCGTCGAAATCCAGAGAGCAAAGGCTACAACCGGAACACTTCTCTAGACATGACAAAAGTGGGGGTTCTGAAGGACCCTGTTGCCAACGGAAAGTATTCATTCAGCATAAACAGGAAGCTAAGGTGATATTTGGGATTACGACTGCGCCCTTAGTGCGGCTCACAGTTGCATAAGCCAAATATGAAACCCAACTTCCTCCACTAGCCGTCCGCAACACCCAGACCGAGAAGCTGCTTCGAGAAGCGCTCTTTGAGGGGAGTCTTCTCGCCTGTGGCGTCAGACCAGGGACGCGCTGGGCTTGTGGGTCTCTGTTCATGTTGATGCTAGTGTATCTCGCTATCTCGCTGCAGAAAAGACTTCATATTCAGATGATAAAACCAGCAAATGAAAGGCTTGTTGCAGACGAGCTGGAGAGGACAACTTCGTTCGCAGCGAGAGTTCACAGTTCGGACAATGACAGGATGTATCTTTGATTCCTTCGTTTCCCGCCAACTTGGGCAATGCATCAAGGAGTTTTCAGTGCACGGCGGCCTGAGCGACTCACCGAACTGCGTATTCCAAGCAATTCCCATGAGCCTTCCAGCCTGAAGTCACCACAGAAACCAAGAGCCCTTTGACCCTTTGAGTTCTGAAGCTTCCTGAAACCCGGACCATGGTGCTGGCAGGTTGCTCAGCATCTGCACCGCTTGAGGAGGCGTGACCGCCTCGGTGTCCGCAACGAAGCAGTGCAAACTTCAAAGCCCATATTGTTACCTGAATCTCAAACCCCAGAGCACCAACATCGGAAATCCTACACCTCGAAGCATGGCGCCCGTGAAACGTATATGGCCCAACTCCTCAACGCCTTAAGGGATCGAAGCTAGCTTACTCTTGTCTCCCATGTCGAGCATAAGCATTTAAATTTACCTTACCTGCGGTGATCCAACCAAACCAAAACTGAAAACATCCTGGCTCCTATATTCAATCCGCCCACCTCCTTCTCCGGTCTCAGCCCGGTCGGGTGCGGGAAGCGAGGTACCGGAGGCTTCCTCAGCCCGTGGGCAGAACAGATTCGCGATTCGAAACTGGGGCCTGGTGTTCGGAGGCATGGTATAGTGTAGGGATTTACCCAACATTGGGTGCTTGCAGGTCAAGGTCTCTTGTGTTCGCTGTTTTTGCCCGTTCAAGGCTTTGCGCTTCCAGCGGGTCGATTGCAATATTCATGCGGTTGGTCTGTGAACTGTTGAGAGCTTCACCGGTCATGTCTTCAGAAAGTTGCAGTCACATGTTCAGAGGGATGACTGATAGGCTGCATGCTGTCCACACAGCTTCTGTTATGCTTTCGACAACACGCAGAACTTCTATCCTAGCCCTTCACAATAGCCTCAACCCCTCAGCTCGAAAACCCAACACACAAGCCTGCAAGCCCCAGCCTAGTCCGTTTTGTACGAGGTGCAAGGAACCCCAACAGCCCCAACATAGTTGTTGCAATTATTTTGGGCCCTATCTTCGTGACACTGACACTGTGCAAACAAGCATCTTCTCTGCTGGGACATCAACCACGACCACAGTCTTGCTGAGACGCCGCTTCTTCCTGCAAGCGCATGCGGACAGGCTAATACAGGCATGAATGCAGGTCTGGCGTCCATACACCCGCCAACTACAGGATAGCGGGTGCTCATGAGATCACGGCTGATCGGACGGTCTGCGAAAGCCTAAGCCAGGTGGATCAATCGGCTCAACGCCTCTAGACGCTAGTCTTAAAGCTGGATCACGCCAACTCTGATCAAACTTCTTGATGCCAGAACCCTACCTGGGTGCGTCCACAAACCTGACAAAAAGACAGGGAGGAACGCTCCCTGTACTCTTGAACCCTGCGCAAAAAGCCCCAAAACCCAAACCCGAACAGTGCCGGCCGGGTGACTTCTTCTTTTTCTTCTTTCGCTTCTTCTTCACAGGGCCGTCGATTAGCAGTGGAGCTGTGGCGGCCAGGAGCATGTCCTGAGGGTTGTAGGGTTCATGAACTGATAGTTCATCGCGAGGGGTTTTACGCCGCTGTTTTATGGAAGGATTCAGGAAGATACAGGACCTCATATACGATATGGTCTCAAGCAAGATGAGGCAGGATCCGAAAATCCAGGCACAGCACAGCTGCAAGTCATGTAGTTTATAAGGCATGGACCAAAACCACTGTGTCCTCGTCTACCACAGGCGTTTCTCTGGAGAGGGGCCGTGGTGAGTCATCGTCATCACACTGACCTGTCGTCGTCTTCGGCTTTGGAATCTTGGGGTTTAGGGTTTCGGGGCTTGGGAATTTCAACGCCTGGTTCCGAGAAGGTAGCTGGCTTTGCTCTGTTAGGGTCGCTTCTCGGATACAGTGGGCTGGCGGGCCCTCTCCACTGTTGTAAAGTCCGTCGTCACACCTGGGACATTCTGTAAACATCACCGGTGGCGACTACCATTGCCGCAACTGGTAGCATAATCGCAAAACTTCTCATTGCTACTGCTGCTACGACGACGACACTGAAAGCGAAAGTCTCAAATTCCGAAGTCGGAACCTTGCACGCCTACACCCCAAACCCCAGACCCCAGGGCCTATAGGCCCTGGAGCCTTGAACCATAAAGTTCCTGAAACTCCACCGAAACCCCTATACCGCATAACCTAAAGCCCATGACCTCAAGGCCCTGAAGCCCCGAACCTCTCTCTGCCTCTCTCTCTTCCCACCCCCAAACTCCTCAACCCCTTGCAGCACCTGCACTCCTCACGCCGATACCCACAAAGCTATTTGCACTAAACCCCCTCAACCGCTGTAACTCTGAAACCTTACGTAACTACTAAAGCCCTATAAACCCTAAACCCGAAAATTTATCCCTAAACTATGCCCTTAAAACCCTGAACCTTATATGGCGTATTATATTAACTAGGGACCCAAAAAACGGCCATAATTTTGATGACCACCCATATAGCCCAAAGCTCCCCTGTAAACCCCAGGCCTACATCCTCAGCCTAAAAACCCTAAACCCTACACCTTAAACTCTTAGCTTAAACCCCAAATAAACCCTATACCCCAAAAACCCTAACCCTAAATTAGACCCCAGGCCTACATCCTCCTGAGTGGCTCCAGGCTGATACTCGTCGGACTCGTTGACCAAGATCTCTCGGAGACCAGAGCCTCCGGCGTTGAAATCTTACATGATCTGCTCTTCTATATGATAGCTATACTACATCGTCTCGCAGTATGCTATATGCATGTTCCAAAACTGCTTCAACGTTGGGGCTTGGAGAACACTTTTGCATTTTGTTGTTGCGCGGCTGTGGCTTCGTGTCTGGTTTGGTGGGTTCAGGGCCTCAGGGCTTAAAGGGAACTCCAGAAAGTTGGAATATGGAAAAAAATGGTAGGATCCCCTATAATTTACCTTAAAAGGGGATACGATAATGATATTCCAACTTTCTGGCTTCTACCGTAAGGAGATCTCGGGCTCAGGGCTTCGGTCGCAGGGCCCAAAGCCCAGAAGCAACCGGATGTCGAATGCACCACGCACTGCACGCTGAATGTGCAGGTTGAAAACCCTATAAACCCTAAACTTCACACCCCTAAACCCTGAACCCCTAACCCCTAAACCCCTAGACTCTAAACCCCTATAACCGTTAAACATAAACGCTAAACACCAAAGAATCGAGGACAAGTTGCCCTCGTCGGCGCCCTCCTCGTCGTCTCCGTCCTCGTCTTCCTCCTCCTCATCGTCGGCATCTGCACCCCTTGGCTCGAGCGTGGTGCTGCCATTGTCACGGCTGCTTGGTTCAGGTTTATAGGGATTTGAAGTGTAGGTTTAGGGTGCAGCCTGCTGAGATGGTGATTCCGAAAGCTAGTCACCGCAAAATGGTCAGACTCTCCCAAGTTTAACCTTGGTTAGCGTCCGTGATTCTGTCTGTCCAGGCCGGTTGAGGCTTGCATGAGCCCGACTCCGGCTACTTACTTGGGGTTCTCACTTTTGCCTTCATGTCCTCTGTCGAAAGTCTTGTAGACAAGCGACACTACGCTAACCCCCCAAAACCCTAAAACCCTAGAGCCCTCAGGTGTAGGGTTCAAGGGTTGGGGTTTAGGGTTTGTTAGAGTTTAGGGGTTAGGGTTCGGTCCTAAGCTACCCCAAGCCCCGAAACCCTGAACCCAGCAAGCCCCGGACTCTTTGCAGAAAAGCGGCTCTTCTCCGAGATCTTCTGCTTCGGTGCCCGCCTTCCTGGGGCTTCAAGGCCCCGGAGCTTCCAAAGCGAAGCAAAGGGTTTAGGTTTCAATGTTTTGGGTTTTGGGTTTAGGGCTTAGGGGTTTAGGGGTTTAGGGTTTAGGGGTTTCAATGTTTTGGGTTTTGGGGTTTAGGGTTTAGGGCTTAGGGGTTTAGGGGTTTAGGGTTTAGGGGTTTCAATGTTTTGGGTTTTGGGGTTTAGGGTTTAGGGCTTAGGGGTTTAGGGTTTAGGGGTTTCAATGTTTTGGGTTTTGGGGTTTAGGGTTTAGGGGTTTAGGGTTTAGGGGTTTGATGTTTTGGGCTTTGGGCTTTTGGGTTTAGGGATTAGGGGTTTAGGGTTTAGGGGTTTGATGTTTTGGGTTTTGGGGTTTTGGGCTGGGAGTCTCAAGTGTAAAGGGTTTGTCTGGGGTTTATAGCGGTTAGGGTTGTGTAATTTGTATAGACCTTCAGAATCGATGATTGAGAAGCTGAGAAGCAATACCCGATGTGGCGTAGAAGCATTAGCGCAGCAGAAGAAGCAACCCCAACAGCTTACCGGTAGTAGTCTCAGCAGCCGTCAGTACTGTAGAAGTATATCGCAGCCACAGCCGCCGAAATGGTGGTAGTAGTGGCGACAGGTACAACTTGTGGTACTGCAGCCTGATATCTTTATCCTGGAATATTGCTACCCATGTAACTGGAACCGGCCCACGCAAGTTCGACGAAGCATAGGAGGAGGGGTCGTGTTTGACGAAACGCGTCTCTACTTAAGCTACTTCTGGAGGGTTACAGAAGAGAGTGGCTGCTCCGAGGCGACTTTTGACTCCTAGCGTCGCGGAATGCTTTCAGCCGTGATTCTCATTGTGAGTATGGTTACTTCTTACTACAAGTGCTACTATTGCTTCACATCCCTCTCTTCCTCTTACTAATTAGTATCATACGAATCCTGAATCCTGCTCATGACATCCCGGTGGCCAGTCGTCCATGTCCAGCCCATCCTGATCCTCCTGACAGAGCAGATCACTACACATACCGCAGACTTACCCCACGAAGGCCAACAAATTCCTTTAGTGATTCTCTTGAGCCGGGGGGAAGAGGGGCGAATCTTTGGCGCAGCAGCAGGCCGCATGCGCAAGCTAGTCCAACTCATCCCATCGGGATGCCACGTATTTTCTGAGGGTGCGTGGGCTACTACTTGCGTACTTGCTCTATGTCTCCGGCCTCATCTTCTGCCTCATCATCACCCTCTTCGTCCTCACCTGTGCAGATTTGTTGCTGCACCATGCATCATGACGACAGTGGTGCCTTCTGGATTCCTGGAACCCTTCAAGCCTGAAGCCCTAAACCCTTACGGCCCCCCTTTAAGGACCCTAAAACTATGTGACTGAAAGGTGTTCTAGCAATCCGAACTTTCACGGAGCTGTGTCTTGGTGCAGGGCCAAGAGCCGAGTCGTGCATCTACAAGCGACAAGGGTTCAACTGCGGGGTCGTTATGAGCGCTGCTGGAAGGGACAGACTTCATCCTGGTCTGCATCAATCCAAACTGTGTGGATGCGGCGCGCATCGTAGCAAGGAGATCCGCTGTCGAAGCCGTCTCTGCTCGCAAATAGTGCTCGCAACGGAATATAGCCATAGCTGCTAGTAAAAGAGTAGCTGTGAACATCCGGTGAGAATTTTCTGGAATGGCCTCGATAGCATTGCGAACGCGACGAGCCAGAACGACAGCCGGAGTTCGAAGGGCAGCGTCGGTTCTGACAACGGATTACAAGAAAACATTTTGGGCAACACATCGATCAGGAATTCGACCGTCTCCTTAGCCGCAAACAGTGCCGGATCGTGCTGAAATGACAGCAGCCTGCGTGTCTGACAGTGTATGTTCAAAAGAAGCGCCAGTGCGTCTTCCAGCTCCGAAGGATTGTTATGCACCTCTTCTCGCATGAGCACATACCTCCGCAATTTGCCTACGCACTCTTCATACTGTCGTCTCAATGGAGACTCATCCGAGATAGCCAGGGCAGCACAGACGGAAAGCCACGCGTCCAAAGACTGTGTGAGGAACTGCATGGCGAGATCGAGCTTGCCGGTGTGGAATGTGGCTTGACCCAGGAAGCACAATGTCTTTGCGATGCTGGCAGTGACGCGGTCACGGGGGCACAAAGATCTCTTCATGCTTAATGCTTCTTGCAGGTAGCAGACTGCCACCTCGAAGTCCTTGACGAGCATGTGCAGCTGTCCCAGTCCATACAGTGCGTTTGCTCTGAACTCCTTGCCTTCGTCTTCTGCAAGACAGCCTACCGCTCGTAGAGACTTTTGAAGACAGCTTGTCGCGGCCTGAACAGCCTGAACAGCAGCAGGATGTGGACGACACCCTAGGGCAGCACAATATTGGAGGAGGCGAGCCTGACAGCATTGCGGGATTAATTATCCCTTGCACCTACCAGGCAGGTTGTAATCCTCAACTTCAGCTTACATGACATCGAGCCTTGGAACTGGTATGCATGAAACCCCCGTGCATTGCACGGCCGCTAAAACTGCTCAGTCTGGGAGACTCCTACGCATTCTCTCGCGAAGCGTACCTGTTCCAGGCAAAACTCCAGGTCACGTCCTCGGAGGAGCTCCCGAAAGCTTTCTTCCCAATAACCGACGTCGACTGATTCCGCGACCTCCTGCAACAGCAGCGGTGGGTATGCTAACGTTAAGACAAGTCAAGCTTGATCATTGACGGCATGCCAATGCTAACTGCTGCGAGCCGTCCTGGAAGGCTCGGTCGCCAATATGGATGCACCAATCCCAAAAGGCAGCAAAGTTGAGAAGGGCTGTTAAGGTCCGGCGGTCTTCGCTGCCGGGGGCCTGACAGCAATGCAGGATTGCTCCTTTCACATACTCTACCAGTCAGCTGCATACCTCAAGTTCAGCTTGCATGGGTTGGCACAATGGACCCCCGAAAGCCTTGCGTGTGCGCATGAAACACTTGAGCCCCTGGTCGTACCGGCCCCGAGCATTGATCAGTCTGGGAGACGCCCATATGCATTCTCTCGCGAAGCCTGCCTTGAGCCACACCTGCAATGGAAAATCTTCAGGGAGAGGTAAATCAATCAAGTCGGCGGAGTCTGCTGACGGGAGAACTGTCAAGGGCTCGTCCCTGGCAGTGAGAACGCGGCAGAACTCCAGGTCGCGGCCACGGAGAGCCTCCCGAAAGTTGTCCGCCCAATCATCGCCTGCTTCTATCAGCTCCTGCGGCAGAAGCAGTGCAACCCAAGATAAGTCATGCTCACGAGCAGTGTGCGCAATGCTCGCAGTCCTGCGCATGTCGGCAAGAGGTTGAAGCTTCGCGGTGATCCAAGTAGCCAGGCCATAGGCTTTCTGCCAAGTTCAGAGCTTTCTCTATAAACACCCGGGCTTGCCGGAATTCCGCAGACAAAACAAGCTCGTTGCTGAGACGGTACAGAGTCGAAAAAGTTTCGCGGTCGCCATGGGGGTGCAAGCGCTGGCTCAGCTCCAAGGACTCGTGAAAGTACTGCATGGCTTGTTCTCGATTTTTGAGAATGCTGCTTGCGCGACCCAGGTCATACAGCGTTCGAGCGACACTGAGATGAGGCGTGCCTTCGTGAAGGCAGCGCTGAATTTGCAAGCTCTGGTGTAAGTAGTCCGTGGCCTGTGTGGCATGCTCAGATTCCCCCTCTTCGAGAAGTGCAGAGCCCAGTCTACGCAGCGTTTCTGCGAGGGGAAGGCCGGTCTGCTCCGCCCTCATCTGTTGCAACTGACACTCCAAACCTAGTTCATGGTTGGGAGAGGATTAAAATTGAATTATTCCTTATTGGGTTTTATTGGGTTTAAGTAACCACAAACATGTAAAATGTTGCCCAACTATGACAAAGAAACCTTGCCTGTGTGCAACAAGTTGACCTGCACGGCTGGATCTGACAAACCTCCCGAACATGCCCCCTTGCGATTGCTTGAAACCGCAACTTGCCGACAATCTGTGAAGAAGTAGACACAAACATGCGAAGGGACAAAGTGGGCAGGGGCTGATACTAAAGAGTGAAGCAATCCTTCAAGCCCTCGCCGGGCCTTCTCGCATTCCTTGCAGAGGCACTGGCAAGTCTTCGACAACTAGCTCATGCGGTTCTCGATCGGTGGCGCTGTCAACGAAGCCGTCTCGTGGGTCCGCAGTGCGGGTTGGAGCTGTAATGGCCCCAGACTCAGCTTCAGTCCCTGACTCAGGGATGTAGAAGTCTCCACCGGGCTCTTCCGAAACGATTGCGGTGGGAACGCCATCCGCCACCAGCATCTCTTCGACTTGCCTGGTGGCCTGCAAGCAGAGCATGGCCAGGTGTAGGCAGCGCGTACCAAAATCCTCTGAACCTAACTTCTGCATCATCCGGGCAGCCAGGCAGATCCACTCAAAGCACGAAGCGGCCGTCGGTCCAACTTCTGCCTCAACATGATCATTCGCAATGTGGAGCACATCGTGCGCCAGCGCACGCACCTGCTGCGCATCTCGCAGCATCTGCAGCGGATCCGGGTCTTCATACCCCTGGAGGTGCCCTTGCGCGTGATAGAGTATTAAGCTGGCCTTACCTCTCAGAGCTTCACGCTGCTCCTCCGACATGGAACTCGTCTACACGGATGCGCACTTGCAGGGCTCATCAGTATGGAACTGCACTTGGGCCCTGGCTGGATAGAAAGATGCCTCTGAAACTCGAAAAGTTGCCCTGATTAGTTGAAGTCTCATATCCGGGTCAAGCGAGCCTCTCATTAACTGCATGACCTGCTCCGTCATCGCTGGAAGAGATCTTGTGTGGCGCAAATGTACTCCCTTCGTCACAATCCTTGTTCAGCTTCATCATTCACCAACTACGCTGCATCGTCATCGTCGCCGAGTCTTCGTCATCGCATCATAATCATCATCGTCATCATAATGATCATCATGACCAGCCTTGGCACAGCATGCACAGCATCACAGCCATGAGCACCGTTATCCCCATGAGTCGGGCTCAGCCCAGCTATCGGCAGCAGCGCAATGCCAAGCATATTAATTAGTAACTTCGAATATATAGATGTACTGGCCATTTAATGTCGCGAGTAGTTTTCCACGTCGTCATGAGCATACCAACTTAGAAGCAGCAGTTGAACACATCGCGCTGAAGGCTGTCCCCGACCGTTCATCCGAACCGCAAACCTGTTTTGCGCAAAGGTTGCGCTGTCCCCGCACGCTTGTAACCCTCCGGAAGTACGGCCTTCAGCCGAGGATCCCAAGCCTAAACACAGCCTCCGAAAGCTGACCATGCTACGCACGCATACCCCTTGGTGAAACCTTCCATTCCCGGCCTAAGGTTTCGAAGCCGCCGTTCTCAATGGACTCCTCAGGAGCTGGAAGGCTTGCCACGAGCTCTAGTGACGAACTCAGAAAGCACTGTTACCCTAAGCGTTAACCGCCTAAGCTGGCCCTAAGCCCTAAATTCCTATATATACATTAAATCCTAAAACGCCTAAACCCTCATAACTTTGAATGCCCGCACTCCGCCACGTCGGCAGCAGAGACAGCGGCCAAAGCTCGCAACTTCTACCACGAACAATGGAAGGGATTGAAAGGGTTTTAGGGTTTAAGGTTTTAGGGCTTTACGGACTTGGGGGTTTAAGGTTTATAGGGTTAAGGAACTCTACAATCTACAAAATCGGAAGACGCCTCCTCTTTGAGACAAGATAAGATGCAAGAATGCGAGAGACCCGTCAGAGGCCCCAGCCGCCAGCGCAGCTCCAATGGCAAAGGCCTTAGAACGATTTCAGAAGACCCTAACACTTAACACGAAAGCCTGAACCATCAACTCCTATAAACCCCCGTACATGTAGAACCCTAAACCCTAACGTAGACTGTAGTTCATCTAGTCGTTGGGGCAATCAAGTCTTCCGGCAGATGGCTCTCTTTGAAGGTTCGGGTTTAGAAAGATGTTCAAAGAGGGTTAGTAGGGCTTGGAGGTTAGGGCTAGGGCCTGGGGTTTGTGTCTAGCGCTTCGGGTTTAGGGTTGACGTCAAGCCAACGGTCTCGGGTTCACAGAGGGCGGTTTTGCAGTCGGGGAAGCTTACAGCGGCTGTGCAGCCAGGCTAGATTGGCTGCTGCCGGTCACTAGGGCAAGAACAAACGGAACAAGGTTTCGTGGTACGTTATAAGACTTAAATAATGCCTGAGGAGCCCTAAATGCAGCATACTAGTAAGTCCGGCTTCTAAGTAAGCCCCGGACGTCGCCACTAAGCGCCAGTGTCGCTTCGGCCGCAAGCGGCGAGCCTCCGTACTGCTGCGAGTGCTGAGTTTTCTTGAGTCTTTTGGTGTTTCAGTGAAGTTTAGGATTTAGGGGTTTAGGGTTTCAGTGCGGCAAGTGGTCGGAACTCTGGGCCAGAATGACACTACAGTTTGGGCATTTTCAATGTGAGAGCTTCGGGAATGTCAGAGTTTGGGATGTGCGTTCGGCTGTCCGGCCGCTTTACAGCTTTAAGTCCTTCCTAAAAGGTCTTTAAACACTCGCATGATTTGGGACTTTGCTTTCGGATTTGAGGAGTGAGGCTTCAGGTCTTGGCCTGCTGATGGCGTCATGTTTCCGTGTTTCGAGTGCCTTAGTTTCGGAGCCACCCGGATTCAAACTGTGGTATGTCTTGAGTTTCGGGCAGTTGTTCGGCGTTGTAGTGACTATAGTGATGCAGGTAATGTTTTTGCCAGGTGGTCCGTGGTTCTCCCTACTCTGCATGCAACCCCTGTGCCTGCATTCGAAGTCTCCTCGGCATCTGCCAACGACTCCTCCAGCTCCTTGCGATGCTCACGTTTCCGCTTGCACCAGAACTACCGAAAATGTGCCAGCTTTGAAATTAAGTTAGATGCAAAAATTGCATCTTGATGATCAGAATCCCCTACATGTCCCAGGGATCGCGCGATAGAAGACATTCCTGGCACACCAAGTCATCAGTCACTGCTGCCCACAACTTATGTGTGGGACGGGACTCAACAAAGCTCTACACAGACGTGCTCTGAAATCCATGCAACCCTCTACGACCTTACTAGATCGGAGCCGGGCTCCCTTAAGACATTTGGCAAAGCATGTCAAGAGTAAGCTGCGATTCATTCTCTCGGGAACTTTGGACCATCGAACTCGAAACCACAAGATGCGACGACACATCGTGAGTTGTTCAACCAGCCTACCAGTATCCCACCGGCTACGATCTGCGAACAAGCTGTTGTCGCTGCAGGATTCCCGTTAAGAACGAAATAAGCTCAACACTTCTGACTCAAAACCAAGAAGCCGAATGCGCAAATCCCAAAGGCCCCAAACTCCAGGAAGTTTGGCCTGGAAAAAGAGCTGAGCCCAAAGCCAAACACCCAAAACCCAAGGCCACGACTCGAAAATCTGAGCCTCAAGCCACGCAAAGACTACAAGCTCTCAACCCCTAGAACACATACCCCAAAGCCTCAAGCTCCCTTCTCTCTTCTAAATCGATACATCTGAGCCCTGAACCCCAAAGCCACGACTTTAAGGCCGCGGCCGGCGTCTCCTGGAATGCCGGCCGTGGAGGAGCTGCGGAGAGGGCGGTGTGCTCAGGGCTCCGACAAGTGAGGGTTCCTTTAGGGTTCGCTGAAAAGTTCTAATAAAATGCCAAGCGCGGGCGTAGACACCGTGTTTGGGTCGTACAAGGGTTCTACGCGGCTTCCAGAAGTCCTCTACAAGGGCTCTGCTAAGGATTCAACAGCTTGGGCGTTTCGGGCTTTAGATCTTGAGGGGCACGGTTTAGGGTTTGGGGTTTAGGGGTTTCGGGTTTATCGATGTAGGCTTCAGGGTTTAGGAGTTTAGCGATTGGCGCTTTGTAGCTTTGGGTCTTGCAGCTCGTGGGGTGTATCGCTCACCTGGTGTTTAGGGTTGACTGTATTTTGCTCTTTAGCTCAACCACTTCTTCTTCAGTACCGGCTGCCATATGATGTTGAGCGCCTTTAGGGTTAGAGTTACCCAACACCCAAGTACAGGGGCCTTGGGTTTTGAACCTTGTCTTTGTGTTGTGTGTTTGTGTTTGTCTGTGTGTGTGGGGGGGGGATTATCGTCTGTGTGTGTGGGGATTATCGTAGTATAATCATTCACGTAAGGGTTATATAATGGGACCTAGTACCTATGGCTCACACTTCAGACCCCTGTATTAAACTCTGTGCGCGAAAAACCTGTGTTGTCAAAAGTTCTGCAGGTATGTGAACAATGATTCACGGAAGCATCATACCAGGAGACTCGTGGAAGTACCCCTCTCATTGCCCAGAGCATAGCAGATCAACACATATGCAAGTCGCACTGAACTAAGATCACCTTACCTGCTGAAACTAGAGCTGCAGCATAATCTCAGCTATCAACAAGCCCTAGCAAACAATGCGTGTTAAAATCACCAGACCTTGCCATCCAAGCTCTGAAAAGCTCCGCAACCCAAGTAAAGCCGAAACCGCTCACCCTAAACCCTGAGCCTAAACAAAACCGCAAGCGGCTTCCCAGCCCTTATACTAAGCCCTGATGGTACCCTTATAGTATCCCGGTTATAGTCCCCTTTTTGAGTATCCCCTTAATTATTGTACGTGTAGTATCCCTTCAAGGAAGACTTGCCTGGGAAGGCTTCTCGAAAGGGCGGCTCCGGTGCCAACCTGGGTTCTTGCTAAGGAACTTATATGAATTAAGTTACCATAACTTAGGGTTTAATTAAGGGTTCTTAAGGGTTTAAGGGTTAAGGAGCTTTACTTAAGCTACCATGATAGGGGTCCGCTATAAGTTCTATAAGGGTTGAGGGGTTAAGGAGCTTAATTTAAGCTACCAAATAGGGGTCTATAGCGAATAATATGGTTTCTTTATCATATTGGTAGCTTAAGTTAAACCCCTAACTAACAAGAACCCAGCATCCTGGATGGACTTCACGCGACTGACAACTCATGCTCGGACTCTATGAGGTTTCGGGATAGGGCTGGGGGGCATGTGAGCGTATGGGGGTTTCAGGGGCAGGGACATGACAGGTGGGTCCGGGCTTTTGGGCATAGGGATATCTGGGTTCAGGGTTGAAGTTCGTAGGCATTTCGGCCTCCACATCTCGCCCAAGCTGTAGAATCAGAAGCAATGTTACAGCCCAGAAGCCCTCCGAAGCTCCCAATGTACATATGGCTATAGCTATAGGGTTTAGGGCTTAAGGCTTCGGGTTTAGGATCTATATAATTCGGCCCGAACTTCGGTCTCGGCTCCCTAAACTCAAAACCCTCAAGTCTCAACCCCAAGCTCTCTGACCCTATAACCACTGAGTCTAAACACCCAGACCGAAATGCGTAATCCTAAACTGCAGGTCGGAACGTCTAGATTTCAGGGCGCCGGCGGCAGCGGCTCCAATGTGGAGGGTGCTGGGAATAGCGCCTGGTAGCTCGGAATTGGAGTCCAAGAGCTTCTACGGTTTAGGGTTTATATCGTATCTTGGCCTCTATCATTCAAACAGGGCTTTGGGACTTGTGAGCTTCTTCACTCGGCATCTTTAGATCAAGGAGGCAGTGTACTGGAAAGGGGTTCTAGAAACCCTGCAGGGAGCATCTTCGAAGCGACGACCTTCAGTCCAGAA